TTGTAAATAGTCTTTGTTTATAAATGGCAGTGATGATTCCGTTCTGCCATTTTAAAACAACGGTGACACTTAATGGGTTAAGTTAGTACTTATATAAATTTGTGCCTGTACATCTCCAGTTGCCAGTAAAGTAGTCACCTGGTATATTCTCACTCCCTAATTGAATTCTGAGTATATACATGTAGTATACTGTAGAATACACCATAATACGTGTGGATTTTCTTGTAGATATCTGAGATTTGAGCATGTACTCAAAAAAATCCTAATCCCTTGTCATCAGCTGAGTGCAAAATACTTCTTAGCGAGGTTCACAAAATGCTGCAGATGTACTTCACCGTCTATGTCACAACAGCATCTTTAGAAAGAGCTCTTTTCAAATCTATGGCACATTAAAACCTATCTTCGAACCACCACGTCTTGGCAGCAAGTAGACCATTGTATTGTATGTTAATTCATGTATTCAAAGGAGAGAACAGATGCTTTGGACATTAATATTCTGGTTAGAGTTTACCTCTCACAATGAGAGGTGTAGAGCCTTCCTTGGATCCTTCAGCAAAACGTAGTGAGAGACAATTTGTACTGAACATGCCAGTGTTGAAATAATGCTCTGCCTCCCAGTTAAGGCGTTAAGTAGGTTTGGTTGGTATTAGGAACCATATGTTACTAATTATGTTATCCTAACCAACCAAAACTACCTAACCTTACCTAACTTCCCCAGACCCACACGTTATTAAATATCTCTTTTCCAGGTTGTTTACAACAAAAATGTCCAAGAAGAAAAGTGTCTTAGAATGTCTAAACTATTGTTTCCGAAGATAAAATTCCTGAGATTTTGTTGGTGGCAACAAATGCAATATTAACTTTCTAGTAATTTCTGACTTTCAATTGACGATATATCAGTTATGGGTAAAACAAAAAGTGTCATAGAAGAACAACATCTTATTTTTGCCCGAAATTATCATTATTAAACCTATATCTAATTTTGTCCTCTACTACAAATTGACCCAGAGGTATAAATGAATTTAAGGTAGGCAGAGGTTCTGCTGCATGAAACTTTTAACAGAAAAGTCATGGATTCTCCCAGATGCCCACAGAACACTAACTTATAAGCTATCTGTAGAATAGAGAAAGTGATAAAAGTTGACATTGGTTAAGAATGCATACAAAGAGTGGTAAATATCAAGTAGAATCACCCAAGGATAGCCCAAATACTGTACATTATGGAAGATCATGCTGCACATGGAGGTAGATGCAAGTGGTGGAAGCTTTGTTATACAATACTGGAATTTCTGATGTTCAGGACAATTTAACCACTTCAATATGCGAATGCCACTTTTAATATTTTATTTGGCTAATGCCAGATAATTGTATTGAACACAGAGAGGATTCCATACACAAGGGGTTAATGCAATTATTATCCGGGTATAGTGAGTGACATACTGCATATTACCTTTACTTTTTACTTTTATCCTCTTCACCACTGATCGGCTTGTTAGCTGCTTCGACGATCGTTGACGTCTCTCTTAAGCACTGTTGGCAAGTACTGGGCATACACCGGCTCCTGAATGTCTCTGAACCTACTCCACTGCTTGTCAAGTCTGGTCTTGAAAGAGCTCACACTCGGTGCCGTCACAACACTCTCTTGCATATTGTTCTAAGAGATCACAGCTCTTACTCCGAAAAAGTTACCTCTCACAATTTTCTGGGCTTGCGGCTTCTTTAACCTTGAGCTGCGACCCCTTGTGGGACGAGCGTCTACCAGCTCCAGGTAAGGACACTCGACTGAGTAGTGCCCTTTGAGATGCTTATTCACCTCAATTAGGTCTCCCCTAGCCCGTCTGTTGTATAAGCTAGGCAAGTTCAGGCGCTCCAATCTCTCAAGGTAGCTGAGGTGCCATCGTCCAGGCACCAGTCCAGTGGCCCTCCTTTGGACATTTTCAATCAACTGACAGTCCCGAGAATATCTTGGGGACCAGACGGGGTGACAATACTCAGGGCGGGAAAGCACCTCACTCTTGAAGATCGTTACGAGGGATGGACTGTCTAGAGATATTTGAATGACCTTCTTATAAGACCTAATAATTTAGTTGCCTGATTTACCTTCTCGCGATGGCTCGTTGTCAACATACACACGTAGGTACTTTTCACATTCAGTCTCAATTAATGCAGTTTCTTCGTCCTGTTGGGACATATGATACGCCTCCTTACCGTTGGTATGTCCCAGGTGTATCCTCTTACACTTTGTGACATTGAATCTTAGGAGCCATTTCTTCGACCATTCATGGAGCTTGCAGAGGTCCTTCTGCAGCATTTCACAGTCTGCTTGGTTCTTAATTTCCCGCAATAACTTGGCGTCTTCCGCAAACATTTGCATGGAGGAATGTACAGCATCAGGCATGTCATTTATGAAGCAAACAAACAACAGCGGGCCCAATACACTGCCCTGTGGGCTGTGGCACCCTGCTTGTGATGGGTACACATGATGATCTCATGCCATTAATCACCACACACTGCTTGCGGTCACGTAGAGTTTTCGATCCATGCTAGGGCATTTCCCCGAATCTCGTACACTTCCAATTTCATTTTCAGCCTTTCATGGGGTATGCTGTCGAAAGCCTTGGCAAAATCTAGGTATATATTGTCGATATTACCACCCTTTTCAAGAATATAGGTCCAAATATCCAGTACCTTGAGTAATTGTGTAAAGCAGGAGCGCCCTGGCATAAAGTCGTGTTTGCAATCCTTTACAAGGTTGTTTCGTAGTAGATATTCCATCATGGCATCTCTTATAAGTCTCTCAAGTACTTTACATACTGTGTTGGTCAGGCTCACCGGTCTATAGTTCGTGGAGTGGAGATCGCCCTTCTTGAAGATAGGACTCACATAAGCCATTTTCCAATCACTGGGGACCCTTTGCTTATCCAAGCATTTACAGAACATGATCTTCAAGGGCTCGGCAAGCTTGCTGCACAACTCTCTTAGCACACTGGGATGCACCATGTCAGGGCCGGGACTCTTATGAACCTTTAGCTTTGACAGTTTATTTCCTATAACCTTTTCTGAGAACACAATGTGGGTCAGTGCTGTGTTGAACCGCCTGTCCTCAAACGCAGGTAGGTTAATCGCATCCTCTCTTGTGAACACGAGGAAAAGAAGCTGTTCAATGCCCCAGCTTTGTCCTGGTCAAAATCTGTGTAACTACCAACTACCATCTTCAATCCTCAGGTCTGATACTCCTACTCGCATTTTTAATTTCGACTTTCCAGAGCGGTAAAACGCATTTGGGTTTGACCTGACCTCACTTTCAACCAGCCTCTGGAACTCATTTTCAGCCCTTTAACACCCTGATTTTGCTCTGTTCCTGGCGCTTGCATACATCCTCCTGTTCTGCTCATCGTTTGACCTAACCCACGCCTTGAATTTCTATTTTTTTTCTTAACTTTGTCGACTGCCGCATGGTTTATGTGTAGGGGTCCCCTTGTTTTCCTAGAGTCACTGGGTTTGGTCTTGGGTATATATTTATCGATCAAATGGTTCACTTTACTAGCTATGTATTCAGCGTAGTGCCTGCGTTCTTATGCCTTAGTCACGGCTTAATGAGTCAAGCCAGTGGATACTCCTCATCACCTCCCTCATCCCGTCGTAATTTCCCTTGTAATATTTGCACCTTGGCCTGGTTTTGTTATGAACTAGGTAACAGTTAAATCTGAATGACAACACTGTATGGTGACTGGTGCCAACTGGGGCAAGATGTTCCAGTTTGGCCACCATACCCTCCTCGTTTGTTATGATGAGGTCCAGTGGCTTGGGTGTATGCTCCCCTCTGTGACTCCCCTCTGTAATGTGTCGGGTCTTTAACATGTTGGAACGGAAAATTATCTCTCAGAGTTTCTACAGACAGAGTAGCTGGGTTATTTAAGTCATTTGGAGTGAACTCGTTTCTCCAGTCGATGTCGCCATAGTTGAAGTCCCCCATGATAAGGAGGTGGCTAAGGTTGAGCATCGCTGCGTTGTCTATTAAGGCTCTTAAGTTCCTTTGATTTAGTTAGCTACAGTTTGGGATCTGTAGATACACCCGACGATAAGTAGGTCTCCTCCCTTTAATTTAATTTTACCTCACTTGGATTATTCAAAAACCACACCCCTCCTGCAAGTTTCTTGAGAAAGGTTCGTAAATAAGTTATATCCGTCAATACTGAACTCACATTATCCGGGTCGATTCTCCTGTTCTTGTACAACAGTTCTACAACTCCTACTATATCGGGTTGGTGTACCTTCAGTAGTGTTTCAAGCTCCTCTCTCTTATCAAGGAACGTGTCAGTATTAGTATTGGCAATTCAATGTTATTTAAAAAGAAGAAAAAAAATAACTTAGCTGCCCTCTGCTGGTCTTAACCTTCTCTCGTGTGTCCAGTGTTGCCGCCCAAGACAGTTGGAGTTGTCTTCTGGGTTTTTTCAGTTCTCCTCAACGAGTTGTTGTTATCTATCCCTATGTACACTGTAACTTGTTGCGAAAGACGGATCATATGCCCAATCAGTACTTTAGAAACACAGAAAAAAGAAAACTTTCTTTGGGCGGCAATAAAATGCCGTTTTAGACAGCCCGACTTGTTTTTGTTTAACTGTTATTTACTTATATTTTCTTTTCCAGTTCTCATCAATGAATATATCTCTTTGTGATTACACTGTGTACACTGTATCCCTATGAAATGTGAATTGTAGGCACAATTTCAGTCCTTGAGAAAGCACACACACACAAAAGAAAAAACAAATTCTTTGTGGCACCAATAATACGGCTTGGTTACTACCGGCAGTGGCGTGGTGCCTGCTTGCTTGCCTCAATTTGTTCTTCACTTCAAGTTATTTACAAACTCCTGTGCAGTCACTGATGTCACTATGAACTGTCTTAACTAGATATACTGAAATTGTATATGTAGAAATGATATCTGACTATATTTTGAAAATTTTACACAACAAAGTGAATTACCGGGTATATTTCAGCGCAAGACTAAAAAAGGAGTCTGTGTACGTAGCCAAATGTCTAACATCAAATGCAGGAGCGTAGGAACCCACCGACCCCACACAGAACAGCAAAATGTGAAGTGCTCACTGGAAGAGGGACTGATGTGCCAGGGCCGGGATGATGCAACAGGGGCTAATGCTTGCTGGGACTATGAAGTTTCTCTCCTCTGTGACTGCAGTAAGTAATATAACGTACCGTACATTATTGTGTCAAATCTCACTAATATTAGACATATTTGGACAGATTCACAACATCATGAAATAAAATTTTTGGAAATAGAATTAACATTAAAAGAGAGAAACCAATATTAAGTTTACACCAGTATCAGTGCCTGCTGTTGTTTAATTCTCACACAAGTTTCTTCATTTAATTTTTTTATAGGTCGTACAACAACCGTTGAGTCTGTTATCTCTACCACCCCAATAACACCTGTTACACCACAGGTGATTGTGACACCTTCCATGTGAGTGTTCTCCTGGAGCTCAACTTTTTCTTTTTTTTTCTGTCATGAAGATATAGGAAACATAATATGTTGTCTAATGGTAGACCCTGCTGCCATATGGCATCACAAATATTGTGACCAAGTCCCAGTCCCAGGTTGCTGATCTGTTTTTCTGCCTCATTTACACAATTACAGGGTCTTAATTGTTTCTCTTACTTTGACAACACAACATACATGTATAATTTTTCACTCTTGTTTTTTTTGTATGTATTTAGTAATTTATGTCTATTATTATTATTATTTATAATTTTTATAATTATTATTAATATTTTATTTTAATTTTATTTATTTTTATTGTCATCATCATCATCATTATTATTATTTTATTACATTTTCGCCCCCCAGGCCTGATGTAGGTCATTATAAAATTACGTGTGCCTGGGTGGGATAATGACCATAAAAAAAATGTACAGTAAATACTTTATTTCATCACTAATATATCTTAACTTTCCCTTTATAGTAGTCAGTAGTTCATGAAAGGTAAAGTGGAACGCACATAGCAGAGTCGACAGCACCATAGTTTGTTACAATGTTTGTGAAAAGCGATTTTTCAACGTGGTCATATAGATTTTTACTCAAGGAACACGAATCCAAATCTGACCTCAAACAAGGTCACCAACTTTACCTTTAGAGGTCATATTATGTCATAACCTGAAACAACAATGAAAACTCTTATCAAGACAAAGCATATGACCTCTAAAAGTAATTTAATATTAACCAAGATTTAAAAAAGCCTTTTTTTCTAAAAAGCAGTTTTTGTGACAAAGGCCAGAATGCGACGTCTAGCTTTATACCTACGTATGTATATGCCTTACATTAACTCACCAGGCCAACATACAGGCAATTAAAACATCTAACAATTACTTAAATACGTAATATTAAGAGGACACGTCGCTACCTGGCTTTTAATTGCAATTCTCAAAACCCCCTCCTGCACCCTCCAGCACACGTATCACCACCGTCACCTCTTGCCCCAGAGCGAGCAGCAAACAAATGTCAACTCTCGAGGGGTGGAGATGGGTGAGATGTCGACGTCGCATTCTTGACTTTATAACAAAAACTTAAAAAAAAAAAGGCGTTTTGTTCAATCCAGAATGCGACGTCTAGCTTTGATTACCCGAGCAGGATGCGGAGAGGGAGGTGACATTGCATATAAGGCTCCGATAGCTTAGGTCCACAAAATAATTATATTTTTGTTTGGAATATTTTCCTTAATAAGGAACATTTTCTGGAAGGTAAAATTTTTATTTACATATCCTAATTAGGATACTCACTTTATTCTGATGAAGAAGAAGGTCCTGGTTGTGGAGATGGACTAAGTGGGGGAGGGGACCCCAGCACCACCACATGTGAAGCATCTTTCAGAGATAGATGAACATAGCTGTTTTGAAAGGTTTTGAAGATTTCCAAAAACCCACTTCTTTGATCTAACTGAGGCTCATATGCCGCAGAAAGGCCACAGACCCTGCATATTTCCTGGTGTCATGTGCCAAAAATTTCTTACCAGGGTCTGCTTGACACACCAACTGAGATAAATATTTTGTCAGTTGACTAGGAAACAATTTCTTGCCACCCTGTGATGAGAATACATAGGGGCCTCGATTAGGGAATCTGGTTAACCATTCCTGAAGGTTCTTAACTGGACACAATATATGAGGAACCCTTGTCTCATCCATTAGCAGTTTTATCCAGATAGATTGAGCTTGAAAATCCTCCCTCTCATTTTTTTTAGAATCTCCGTAGGAAAAAGAGTAACATCTTCCTTAGAAAATACCAATAATGATGGATTATTGGAAATTGAAACCTGCTCACTGATTCTCATACCTTTTGCTATTGTTAGAAGGAAGGCTACCTTTTGGAGCAATCTGTCCCGGGTCAGATTAATAATGTAATTAGGCCCCAGAAGAAAGCTAGTATCTTTATCTAGTGACCAAGGTTCAAAGTAATGTTAAAACACCCACGCCAGAGGTGTCAACCAATGCTGATTTATAAGATGCAATTGTAGATCCTTGAAGGCCTTTAACTCTGAACGGAAAATCTAAAAATTCTAACACCACTGTTTCCGACAATGTGATTGGAGTCGTTAACCTGATAAATTGTTGAAAAAGGCTCCAAGCTTTCTCATATTGCACAGAAGTTTGGGGCCTATGACCTGCTATTACTTGGTTAACTATACTGGAATTACCCAACAATCTATTTAGACATCTTTTGAGAAACTCCATCTGTAAAGTGCCAGGGATGTCTCGTACTGAGGGTGCAGTACCTGGTCTAGACATCCTTGTTGCAATCGTAGTGGATGCGGGCACCATTCCAGCAGATCCAGACACCACGGTTGTAGTATCCAACATGGTGCAATTAAGAGGACCTTTCCCTGGAAGAATCTGAGTTTGTGAAGCACTTTGGACAACATTTTCGCAGGTGGGAACAGATAGATTGAATTCCAACTGTTCCAATCAATGAGTAGAGCTTTTCCTAGAAGATTCGATCGTTCCAGAGATGCATAAATTGGCATCTTGTGATTGTTTTGTGAGGCAAAAAGATCAATTTGTGGAGTCCCCAACCTCCTCGCTAGACCCTTGAACTTCGATGTCTTAAGGGACCATTTTGTTTCCGTCGACATTGGCCTGAGACGGGACAACGCATGTGAAAGTAACTGTGAAAAAAAGTTTTTTGATGACAGAAACACAATACCTTCTCCTACAGTTACCTAGGACCTATATAAATTATGATTATTACATGTAGCCCGGCTTTATAAAAGATTGTATATACAGTACATTTTTCTCTGTATCAGTCAACTTACTGTATTTTGATTTTAATGAGACACGAAGTTTGTGTATCATAGCCACCGGTTGAAGAACAGGAGAGATAATTCAACTCCAGTACAGTATGTTCATACAGGAGAACAGTACAGTATGTTCATACAGGAGTACAGTACAGTATGTTCATACAGGAGAACAGTAAAGTATGTTCATACAGGAGTACAGTACAGGATGTTCATACAGGAGTACAGTAAAGTATGTTCATACAGGAGTACAGTACAGTATGTTCATACAGGAGAACAGTACAGTATGTTCATACAGGAGTACAGTACAGGATGTTCATACAGGAGTACAGTAAAGTATGTTCATACAGGAGTACAGTACAGTATGTTCATACAGGAGTACAGTACAGTATGTTCATACAGGAGTACAGTACAGGATGTTCATACAGGAGTACAGTAAAGTATGTTCATACAGGAGTACAGTACAGTATGTTCATACAGGAGTACAGTACAGTATGTTCATACAGGAGTACAGTACAGGATGTTCATATAGGAGTACAGTACAGTATGTTCATATTAAGAGGTAGAGAACACACAGCAGGTTCAAAACAGGAGTTAGAGAACAAAAGTATGTTCATAAGTAGGGAGTTAGAACAGCATGGTATGTTCATACAGGAGAACAGTACAGTATGTTCATACAGGAGAACAGTACAGTATGTTCATACAGGAGTACAGTACAGTATGTTCATACAGGAGTACAGTACAGTATGTTCATACAGGAGTACAGTGCAGTATGTTCATACAGGAGTACAGTACAGTATGTTCATACAGGAGTACAGTGCAGTATGTTCATACAGGAGTTAGGGAACAGTACAGTATGTGCATACAAGAGGTAGAGAACAAGACAGCATGTTCATACAGGAGTTAGAGAACAGTACAGTATGTTCATACAAGAGGTAGAGAACAAGACAGTATGTTCATACAGGAGTTACAGAACAGTACAGTATGTTCATACAGGAGTTAGGGAACAGTACAGTATGTTCATACAAGAGGTAGAGAACAAGACAGTATGTTCATACAGGAGTTAGAGAACAGTACAGTATGTTCATACAGGAGTTAGGGAACAGTACAGTATGTTCATACAAGAGGTAGAGAACAACACAGTATGTTCATACAGGAGTTAGAGAACAGTACAGTATGTTCATACAAGAGGTAGAGAACAAGACAGTATGTTCATACAGGAGTTAGAGAACAGTACAGTATGTTCATACAGGAGTTAGGGAACAGTACAGTATGTTCATACAAGAGGTAGAGAACAAGACAGGATGTTCATACAGGAGTTAGAGAACAGTACAGTATGTTCATACAAGAGGTAGAGAACAGTACAGTATGTTCATACAGGAGTTAGAGAACAGTACAGTATGTTCATACAAGAGGTAGAGAACAAGACAGTATGTTCATACAGGAGTTAGAGAACAGTACAGTATGTTCATACAGGAGTTAGGGAACAGTACAGTATGTTCATACAAGAGGTAGAGAACAAGACAGTATGTTCATACAGGAGTTAGAGAACAGTACAGTATGTTCATACAGGAGTTAGGGAACAGTACAGTATGTTCATACAAGAGGTAGAGAACAACACAGTATGATGATGCATACAATTGAAAGAACAAGACATTATGTTCATACAGAGTTAAAAAATAATACAGGGTTAAAGTACAGTAATAATAATAATAATAATAATAATAATAATAATAATAATAATAATAATAATAATAATAATAATAATAATAATATAATAATAAAAATAATAACAATAATAATAATATAATAATAATAATAATAATAATAATAATGTAATTGTATTATTATATATATAGATAAACAATAATTATTATAATTATAATAATAATAATAGTAATAATAATAATTAACGGTTTATTGAAAGAGCATGACAGCCGGAAGGCTGAAAATATACAGTTACATAATTGGGGAATGGGTCTCTTGATTTACAAATAATATACAAGTAACATAAGTGATACAAATATAATATATAATAACTAGGTGGGGAGAAGCTCAAACTACAGGGCATTTCAACATAGTGACAGTGCAAAAAGTAAGATTGACTGGGAGTGAATACACTGTGTTGTTCCCTCGGTTGACTGTAAGATGGTATCACCTCTTAGGGCCTTGTTGTTTA